CTCTCTCTCTCTCTCTCTCTCTCTCTCTCTCTCTCTCACACACACACCAGCGTGTAGATATCAAAACATTTAGGAGAACCTCCCACTGACAGCTCTATCACCTCACCTGAACCTCACAGCTGTCTCCTCTCAATATGCAGCGTAAATGTCTTCGCTCCTTGTGGTCATCATGGCTGATAATATGACAAGACGGCACCACGACCACATAGTTTGTGACTGGGAGTGACAACTCTGAAGGCATTCAAGGACAATAGTGAACTCTGCCGGCAGGTTGATCAAGTCAATCTAGCCATAATAAGTGAAGAGCAAAAAAAAAAAAAAAAAAAAAAAAAAAAAAAAAAAAAAAGCGCTGGGATTTGCAGCAAATTTGACATACCAGCCAAACGGTGGAATCACAATTTCAAAGTCCGTCACACGATGCCATGAGGCCCAAAAACACTATTTCCCGTAGACTTACATTAAGAACGAGACTTCTATAACTTCATGTGAAGCAACTTCCCAGTATGAACACTTGAGCAGTGCGTTATTCTAAATACCTTTGTGAGATCAAGTGTATAATCAATTTTTTTAAAATATCAACTGAAACTCTTTAATCAAAAAAAATAAATGGCGTAAAAAGAAACGTTTCTGCTTTTCATGCTGGTTTTCAACCACTGGCAAAAAATGTCGCACTGCTACGATATCTTCCACTAAAAGGACAAAGAAAAACAAGTGTCAAAATTGCTGCAAACAGGGAAATGAAATCCGATAACTTTGACAATGACTTTCACTGTTTGGTTGACTAAAACAGGAGACAGAACCGTCTTGGAATAATGGACAAATGATAACGTCTGGTTTTCCAACTAGTCTAAGCCTTCCAGTAATGCTTCATTAGAGCATTAGAGTACAAATATACGGCAGGAACCCAGTCTATGCATATTGTTATGAATTTGAAACCTCATCAGTATCAAAACCAGCATTGGCATCCATCCAGTCTGGATGCCACTGTAGTGTGTGTATTTGTTTAAACATATATGATTTCCCCTCACACTGACAACCAATGGGGGTGTGTCTATTATGACACCTGAAGCCTTCTGAATGTGGCTCGAGCCTATTTTTATGGTGTTGCAAAGCCGGTTCGAGAAAGACGCGGCCAGTGCAGAGATGAGGAGAAGGCGGCGAGGACCCTGCTGTGTGCCGTGTCAGCTAGCTTTGCAGCCAGTAATAGCTCAGTCATCCTAGTGTTTATTTTTAGCAAGGGCTAACAGGTTAGCTCGCACTCAAAGGTGACCAGAGCCTTCTCAGAAAGACAACATTATTAGTTTGTAAGCAACAGTAGACTGTCCCGTCTGTGGAGGTCATTCACATACCGTTATTTAAATCCACTGCCTTGTTGATCAGAGCCCGTCTAGACAGCTGATGTCAATGTAGTTTCTCATGTCATCTTTACATAATCTGCTGACCCATAAACTATTTTTTTTATTGCACAACTAGCATGCTAAAGACACTGTGGTAACTGCTGCAGGTCTGAATGTCTGAAGCTGGTTACAGTGAGGTTTTGACAAGCTGCTGACAGCAGCCTTGGCCTACCTCTACACCGGAGTCACGTTACTGGCTGAGTGTCACCCTCACCACGCACACGCACACGTGTGCGCGTGCGTGCATGTGCGTGTAACTCACAAACTCAAACCTCATCTGTGCCCCCTCTGACTACAGTACCCCTACCCAACATCACATTACTGCACCTCCCACGTGCATCCTGTCTCTCTGACCCAGGGGGCCTGCCCCCTTTTAGAGAGACTGTGCATATATGTGTGTGTGGCTATCCCCCCCGTACATCCTCCTGAGGTTTTAACCCACAACGGCGCAGCAAGACAAACAACAAGAGATACAGAGAAACTAGAGGAGTGGGTAAGGAGGTGAAATAGATCTACTTGATGTATCTCGCCATTTGTGGGTGTGTTTCTTCTTCTTTCCAGCCATCAGTGCGACCAAGCACAGTCTGTCAGAGGGAAGCACCCATCAAACCTTTTCAGTTCCGATACCGAGACCTTGACTTTGGGCCGATACAGAGTATCGATCTGATACCAGTGTTTATTAAATAAGCTGTATGCCTCCCTGTGTGGAAGTGACTGGGATCATTGTTTTATGTGTAAGGCAACATCAGACTTGACTCAAACATTGTTTTACAAACTTTGTAAAACATAATGTAAATAAATTCACAAAATTGTTATTTACTAATAAAATCATAGACCATAATCTGCTAAATTAACAGGATTTACATTTGTGAGGACCGTTTTAACGCAGCGACAAAGTGATCGAAACTTGAACAGGAATTAAAATGTCATTATATAATGTATATTCTATACAAACGTAGAATAGAATTGATCGGCCCCATTGTCATCAGTACCCGATCCAGCTATAAGTATCGGCCCGATATCAGTATCGGTACCAGTGCATCCCCAGTCTGTCACAGTCTATAGTTTTGCCTCTCTCCGATCAAAATGTAACCCTCAAACTGTCCTTAAGACAGTTCACACCTCTCTAATTAACACATATTGTTTGGCAACAAGTCAATAGAATTATGACAGAACTGACAGAACAGGACTGCTGAGGATCACACGAGACAAGTTTGAACCTCAGCCACACGTCTAATGGAATATTCCACTGTAGAGATATTCCCCCCCTAATGCACGGCAGGGTGCTGAAAAGAAAATATGGCGTCTACCGAGCAATCATGAAGTCCAACAACGTCATAGATCCTTGAAAAGATTTAAAATAGTTTTAGTTTAGGCACACCACCCCGAAAATAAAACGCAATATGAGAAGTAACAATTAAAAAAGTAAGGAGTCGAGTGACTTGTTGTCATGTTTAACTCAGAATCATGTTTGAAAATATTATTCCGAACCTTGTTTTCATCTGCAGCAACATGATCTGCAACATGTTTTATGATCAAATCTGGCATCAGGCAGGCTGTGGTGACTCTCCATCATAATGGATTTTTTTTACCAAAAACTGGCAAGAGCACAAAACAATCAAAATATCGCGTTACAAACCAATAACTGGACCCTTACAAACACAGCCTAACAACAGGTGGTGGACCATTTAAACCAAAATGCTTTATGAGTGTGCAAATCCTCATTTTTGGGAGGCCGCAGTAAAACGTCACTCTGGCTGGACTCGAGCCCACGAAAGAAACAACACAACTGCATAACAACAAGACACACGGACACAGAGAATGAAAGAGAATCAGATGTTTCACAGCACAAACAACTGACACGTGACACTGAGTTGCATAATAAAGGTTTGGTTTGTATATAATCAAAGGGTCTATACAGTCATCTCAAACGTGTGTGCGTGTCTATTACTTTGACTGCAGTATTACTAACAGTGTTATTGACATTACTGTCACACCTAGATACTGGACTACCGGTCTGTCTGCAATCCATTCATTTCAGTCTCTCGAATGTGAAAATCTTTCTGCGGTATTAAATTAAATATCTGGCACCCGCTCAGCTCTTTGGTCATTTAATTGGCAAGCGGGACATCAGTTTGTCCAGGGACAGGGTGAGTCAGAGAAGATGGGAATGGCGATTGGACAAAACCCCAAAGAGACAAGTTTCATTGTTTGATTTACAACTGACATTTCTCCTTCAGGGTAAAATGACTTTGGACAAAAAAAAAAACAAAAAAAACTTAGAGAGAACTTTAATGACTGAAAAATTGGCTCAAAGTGCAGATGTTTCACAACTGACGGGGTATTAAAAGTAACCACAGGCTGCAGAGGCCAAGTGGGTCCAAACGTGTGGTGAGGCCAAATTTGTTCAAGCTTTTCACGCTATCTGAGCTCATCTGACCATTGCCGTAACTTCGGAAGGATTTTACGAGCTGTGACATTTGGGCTGCTGGTCCAAATCTCAGCATAGCAGGCAAAACGCTAAATGGTGACCTTGAGCAAGGCAATCGGAGTTACTGCTCCTTTATTCTAATTAGGTGATTATACTTGCAATGTTCTCACTGCTGCTGGCTTGTTTAGTCTGGCTGCATTCCTACTTTGGAGGTGAACAAAAGTGTTTCTTCACATGTGATGATTAGATCTATAAAGAGGATTTCACACCCCAAAACCTTCAACAGTATATTTGACACTAAATGATGGGGAGGAATATAAAGAGGACAGTGTAAACTAGAATGTTTAAATTTGACACCAGAGGTGTTTTTAAGAAGTTAATGGTGACACACTACCAGCTTCTTCTTTCCAATTCAACTGATTATTCCTAGTGTATGTGGGTCCGATTAAAGTTTGATGAAAAAAAAGAAGAAATTTAACGCATCTTTGCACTTACACGGCTTTCTTTGTGACAAGTTCAAACCACTAACGGCAGGATAGAAGAGGCTTGCAACACTGGAGCTGAAGCCAAAATTGGAAATAAGAAGACAAGAGAAGAAAGAAATGGTCAGAAAAAAGAGAGAGAAATGGCCGACAAGACGGGGTGGAGCAGATCTGACAGGAGAGCCAGCAAACAAAGTGGAAAGTCTCTATTCTTAGAAGACATTTTGTGTTATTGACAGTCTCTCTGGCTACTGAGAGCATGTCCTCCAACTCAAAGCTAAATACAGTACAGCCATCTGATATTGACTTTGATAACCATCCAACACCACTAGACAACCAATCAGTCATGCAGGAAGTGCTCCTGATAGTCTACACACAAACAAACAACTGCCTGCAGATTCCCAACCAACCACGCACACTCCCTCATATCTATTGAACCGCTGATGAATCAAACCGTCCTCTTTTTCCTAGATATCGATGTTAGCCTGCTGAGAGGAGAAAGTTCAGAGAGGATCACTCGGCAAAGCTAAGAGCTCAAGTTAAGATGTGTGCCGTTTTTTACCCACCTAG